GTTAAAATTTCGTCGGAACGAAGTTACGGAAAAATCAATTAACAAACGGAGACGTAACAATATTCAAAGCTCAATTTGTTATTTTGAGTCGTAATAAACAAACCGTTCGTCCGATGCTAAAGTACTCTCGCTACGAGCGGCATTAAACGACACTTTCGATTAGCGTCGGCTTCACGTATTTTGCTACTAATCATAGGCTCAGTTAAGCCTTCATTCATGGCAATAAGACGGTAAAATTGAAATGTCTGCTAAACTCGAACCGTTTATCCTGTTGCTTATACATTTAAACCGTATATATGGGAGTCTCCTAGAATTCCTCTCCCAGATCTCACCGAAAGTAGTTCAGCTACACGAGGGCTATCTGCGCTACCCGTCCCTAATTTAGCAGTGAAAGACTAGAGGGAAGGAAGCTAGTCATCAGCTACTCTTTTACCAACGAATAGTGGGATTAATCGTCACATTATAACGCCCCCACGGCTGAAAAGGCGAGCATGTTTGGTGGGACGGGGATTCGATCCCGCGACCCGCAGATTGCGAGTCGAGCGCCCTAACCACCTTACTAATGTAAATTGTATAGGTTGTCATTGTGTATAAGTACTATCAACTGCGATTCTTGTCTATATTTCGTCAGAATCGTTCAAGCAAATCGATCTCAAAGCATTGTTATCACTCACCTTATGAAATTATCAGCAGATAGTGTAAGCTTCCGCACTTGTTTCTTTCTTCTATAGTGTTCTATATAGTCTAAGTGTTTTAGACTTTAATAATCTACAACATCGTTCTAATTCAGAAACAATATATTGTTTTAAATTTAAAAATTTAAGTACGGTTTAAGTGAATTAGGTTATAGATATATTTTGATCTGGTGAATCCTCAAACCTATGTTAATTGCTCTACAATATTCACAGAAAATAAGAATAGTTTTTACTTTTGTCACTTATAACGTTAAAAGTTAACGTCAAGGTTACTTTCTATATTTGGAATTTCAAAAGGTAAAGAGAAAAAGACTTAAAACGTAACCCTACGCTGAAAAATTTAGCCTCGAAACGAATCATTTCATCTTAAGACACGAATAATCAGAAAGTTCTATCAAATTCTTCTCTTTATAACTTGGATTTGGGGCATTCGAGACGTGGTCGATCTTAGTTGGATTCAATGCTATCTAATTTCAATTTTCAACTCTTCAGCATTAATAAAAATATATCAAATAAACTGATGTTTAGTTCTATATGCCAAAAGGCACAGCACAAGAATACTGATTTCAAAACACAATAAGTTAGTTAACTAAAGCAGAATCACGAGTTCGAATCCTGCCCGATTTCAGTTTTCATGTTTTCAAAAAAATTTAACTTTTTAGAAGAATGTGTCACAATGTTTATAATCAAAACACAATATCCTTTCCTACATACATGCAACTCGAGACAATGGTAAATAAATGCTAACCTGTTAGAGAAAGCAAGAGAACAAACCAATGACGTGACAGAAACTGATTTAGCTTATATTTACATATAAGCTAAATATGTAAATGTCCAAGTGTTGTGCTTGTATGTTGGTAGAGGTCAATTGAACTTGGATTGACACGAATAAGTGGAAAGTTTAAACATTACATTTCGTACATGAATATTTTTAAATGTATAATTGTATTATTGGTAAATTATATATCTAATCATATTTTTAATAATCCTATTTCGTACGACAAGGATAACCTTGCTACGTCACCCATCCCGTTCCTCAGCCAAGTCCACCATTCTCTGACTTTCATTATTGAAGATTTGAATTCGCCCTCACTTCTTATAATAATCACGAGTTGTGTGTCCAGTGTCACATTCCACGAAGTTGTCACGTGACTGCGTTGCCTAGTGCCAACATTATCTAAACCAGAAGGAGAATCAAGGTTGTACTTTTAGTCAGGAAATTCTTTTGCAAGCTTTAGTATTTTTGTTACATTTTATGATACATATTCAGAAACATTAGCACTATATTTGTGATCATAACGCGTATGGCTTAAGAAAACAACAGCTTTTTTTTTTTTGAAACACGACTACGCGAAGGATAACCTATCTGCATGATTCAGTTAGCAATGTACTCCTCCCTTGAAAATCGTGTTGGAGCGGCGCTAGCTGCCTTCGGGCACTTTTCTTGTAAAACTGGGCCAACTATATTTTCACTATAAGTGACCTTGTCCAGAATAAGTAATGCGGTCATATTACTAAATAATAATTAACGAAGTGCCTTGACTTTCTCATGCGAGCTGCAAGGTACTGAAATGAAGATTGGTCGTCAACAAATGAGTTTAGGTCGGTTAGCTGGAAATTCCCACCATCATTGTTCGTTTACAAAGGAGTCTCAGCGAGAAGTGCAACTTTTTTACATCATTATTCACATTAGTCGCCAACAAACTGTTCTTACTCAAAATGAATTACATATTCGTAAATGGATCTTGAAAAAAATCCTTCGTATATGCTTAGGATGGTACGAACACAAATCTTACAAACTTTCTTAGTCAAAAGATTTTAAAAAGTTAGCTAATATCAATAATATATTCCTAGGGTGAACATATTGTTACGACAGCGGAAGTCACGCAATTCTGGGAGCATGCGCGCTGGAGTTTCTCGAAGGATCATGGATTTTTCTGGCAACTCTGGTTTGTTCCAGGTGCCCTCTTTTTTAGTATATAAGCCCTGCAAATAAAGCCAGCGAAAAAAGGATAGAATTGCATAGATAGATAGATATAGATAACTGAGTCAAGCGAACAGTAGGCACCGTAAGTAAAGTGTGTGAATTATAGGGTGTGTTTATAAAAGTAGTGAAGTTAAAGTGACTGTGGAAAATTAGTGTATTACAAAGTTCTATCGAGAAAGAATAAACCAGTTTTATTTAAGAAAGGACTTGTATCGCTGAAGTTCCTCGGAAAGAATTTATACCGGAAATTAACAAACAAGCAGATGCGCAACAATATATGTTAATAGAGTTGGTTATTCTGTTTCGGCAGAAACGTTGGTTGTTAAAAAATAGAGGTGAAAATCTTTACAACCTCTTTATATTCTAAAAATATAATGAAACACTCAAAAACTAGCGACTTGAAATGAAAACAAAAACCGCTAACCATAATAAGTTGAAAATATTTCTATATTGATGTTGACTTCTAGTCAACTTAAGCTACTTACGTAGGTCATAACTGATAATCAAGCCAGTAATGAGTGTAGCTAATTAAATATATGTACGGTTCTGCGTTATAACTTATACAGATTAAAATACATTATTTCATCAACTGGATATCATTCACGTTAGCAATATTTTCTGCCGTAATCTCAAAAATATAGCCCGAAAATCGACCAACTGAGGAGTTTTAAGTTAGTCCTTAATCAATACATTAAAGTAACAACGCAAAATAACGTTTATAATAAACATATGATGATAATATAAGTTAACACAATAACAACAGATATATAAACATGAAAGAAATAATAGAGTATACCTTACTTACAGGGCACATTAGCATCAGCTAATTGATTCTCCATATAATTGGATTGTTGATCTCAATTCAGTTTTTACTATGATAGTTTGTAATGCTTCGTTAAGAGAGAATTGTTCGATGTTTGTGTGACTGTTTTTATATTGGAGTAAAAATATAAGTCTCACGGTTATATTTAATGATATTTATATTTTATCATGCATTTTTTTGTTTGGAATATTTCATCATATCTACAAGGGGGTGTCGGGGAAGTTCCACTAAAATAATTATTGATGGCTGGGAAAGTCAATGTGCAAAACCTACAGCATGAATTTACTATTAAGTAATGTAATTTGAAATATTCCTTTTCACCTTGCGGTTCAGGTCTTCCATATTTAGATGACTGAAGTGCACATGTTATTTCCAACTCGTGTGCTGTTTTCTCTAGTAATATTTGCTAACAAATATCAGCAAATATTACCAGAGAAAACGTCACACGAGTAGAAAATAAAATGTACACATCAGTCATCTAAATATGGAAGCCCTGTGAAAAGGAATATTTTAAATTATATTATTATTGTTTGTTTTGTGTTTCTTTGTTTGTCTACAGGGGTGAAATTCTGCCGGTACTCGCAGTATTAGTACCAGGACTTATTTGAGCTGCTTTGTCGTTTTTTTATGATTACATGTATATTTTTTTTTTCAAAAACAGGTCCACTTCACTCAGCTGATTACCTCTACTTGTTTGAGAATTTCACCCCTGCTTGTATAAAATATTTTCGCAGAGTTATACAAAACATATTTGCGAATAGACGCGCCTAATTTTGAACTGATATACTATTGAGAAGACAGCTAGTTAACAGCACCAACCATCAACTCTTTGGCTGTTCTCTTTTTGTTTTTAGTGGAATTTGTAAATTACTTTATAGTGCACCAACAGCTCATAAGTTCAGAGCGTAATTTTTCAGCAACGAGACGCGAATTATGAACTCTCAGATTCACAGTCCTGTCTTGTTGTTCGTTTGGATACAAAGTAAGTTTATTTCCTTTCGTGCAATATATTATCGGTTTTTCAACGCTCAAAATCATGGGTTCGATTCCCCTCGGTGGACACATGTGGCTTTGCTATAATTGTTTGTTTGTAATTAAGCACAAAACTACACAATGGGCTATCTGTGCTCTGCCCACCACGGGTAATGAAACCCGTATTCTAGCGTTGTAAGTCCGCAGACATGCCGCTGTGCCACTGCTCTAAGAAAGCACACGCAATAAGTTCTTTTTATTTAAGACTTTGCCTGAGAAAATTTAATAGAGTAAAAAAAGGCTGAGTTCAATACATACCTGCTAAAAGTTTGAAAAGTGCGAAAGTAATCATCACCATAGTTTACTCGACTGCTACGTCATTAAAAGTTCTTCGTTCTAGATACCTTCCCGGGTAGTCGTGCATAGAAATATACTCTATGCAAAGTAAATTTAGGCCAGCGGCTACAGTTTTCACAGAGATATCTGACAAAAGTTTTCAAAACTCATCAATATCTATTTTTTTTTTGCTCAATTATATCCAGTGCGTGACTAAGATACTGGTCAGTATAAAGTATGACGATCTCCAGAATTCTACATATATAAAACCAAATCGTGTATAACAAAACCGTGTATCTTCGACAATCTAGTCTGAAGCCCGATCTACCGACGATTACAGACGTTACAAGGGAGGGAAGAGAGATGCCTTGGAGCTTTCCAACTCAGAAGGGTGTGGTGAAAGAGAGTAGTTTCCCAAGTGGCTAAACGGCCGAACTTTTTCCTTATCATTGTTTCTAGAGGATGACCTTGGAATCAATGTCGCGTCTCTCGATGGCGTATTTTTCAAATAATTCGAAATACTAGGCTTCCTTGTATGCATCGCGGGAAATTATTTAAATGCTGAATTGAATAGTTACTAAAATATCTACTTTATATTATTGATTTAAAAAAAAGTGTTGAACTGATCACGCATATATAAAGCCATCTAATGAATCCATTTTAAGAAATGAAGCCCCCGGTGGCTCAGCGGTAAGTCTGCTGCTTACAATGCTAAAAATCGAGTTTCTATGCTCTTGATGGACAGAGTACAAATAGCTCATTGTATAGTTTTTCGCTTAACAATAACCAAACAACCAATTTAGAGATGAAAATATCTGTTTGAATATTATTGTCAATGACGTCATTTTCTTTGAATATCGTACAAGCATTGAAAAAAAAATGGTTGTAGAATAAAATTTCGACAAAGCGAATCTAATATAGTTCTCGACACATGTGAACAAAATGGATTGTGAATTATTATAAGTATATATAAAGAACAAATTTTGCGATTAAAGTACAATTGTAACTGCTTGTAACTGTTACATATGACAACATTTTGGTACCAGACCAATGGTTTGTTTTGTTAACTTTCACACAAAGCTAGTCGACGGCTATCTGCGCGAACCGTCCCTAATTTGAATTGATAGACTAAACTGAAAGCAGCTAGTCAGCAATACCCACCATCAGCTCTTGGGCTACTAATGTTGAATTACGGGATTTGACTGTTGCTCTTATAATGAACTCACAGCCCCAAAGTGTACAGCGATATATGTATATATATATTTTCACTAATACATCCACAGTTCTGGGCGCAAACCACTAGGCGACCCCCGACTCTGATGTATTGGAGAAATGCAGATAATTAAATTATAACAACTTTATTCTAGTTAAATTTGACATTACAACAGAACAACTTAATCAAAATCTGACTTATTCCTTGGGCGTGGGTTGACCCTGTGTTGACCTGATGATTAGGGCGCTCGAATCGAAACTTGTGGGCTGCGAGTTCGAATATCCTCATAGAACATGTTTGCCCTTTCAGCTGCGGTGTCGTTATATGTGACGGTCGGTCCCACTTTTCGTTGGTAAAAGATTAGCTAAAGAGTTGTATCCTTTGCCACGCCAATTCGTTTCGTAAGTTCTACATCAGATTTACCATCGAACGTTATTAAGTTTCCCAGATAGCTAAACTTTTCCAGTTGTTTTATGGCTTCGTTATTTATGTTTAGTTCACATTATAGTCATATACCTTGACGTTTTGCTGTTAAATATTAGGCCTTTTCTTGTTTTCTTGTACAACATTATCTAATAACTCTTGAAGCTTTTCTTTCGAGTCTGTTATGAGCATCGTGTCATCTGCGTAACATAAGTTATTCATGTTAAATCTCCCAATTACGAGTCCCTATATGTTACCAATTTCTCTTGTAATTATTTCACAATATAGGTTTCAAAAAGTCTGGTAAAAACATATAATATTATCGAACTTCTCTTTTGATCTTTGGGTAACCCGCTTATCCTGTCTCCTATTTTTATTCCTGTTTTTTGTTCCCAATAGAGATTTCTTATAATTCTAATGTCTTTTCCATCTAGGTCTAATTCTTGAAACGTCAGTAACAATTCTTAATGTTTAATTTTATAGAATGTTTTTGTGTAATTTATAAAATATATAAGTGGTAAGTTTGTAGGCTTATAACGCTAAAAACCGGGTTTCAATGCCCATTGTGAGCATGGCGTAGATAGCCCATTGTGTAGCCTTGTGCTTGACAACAAACAAACGACTGAAACATATGTAAAGATCTTTCTGTACCTCAATGGCTTGTTCAAAAAATATTTTCAGGATTCATATTGCATTTCTGTTCTAGCACCCTCTACAAATCAACATTGTTCTTTGCCAGTTTCAGGTTTTATGCTTCTTAGAATTCTTAACATAATAATAGGCATAGTAATTTCTATTATGTGACTCATAAGGCTTATGATTCGATGAATTCGTATTGTTACGTCTCCGTTTATTAATTGATTTTCCGTAACT